ACAGACCAACACCGTTGTGGTCCCCCCCTCCCATAGGTTTCCTCAAGCTTAATGTAGATGGTTCCTCCTTAGGAAACCGAGCCCTTCGAGCATAGGAGGAACATTGTCGGATCCTAATTCGACCATCTGGACCTTCTCAGAATGCATTGGTCACTGTGATTCTAGTTTCACAAAAGCAATGGCCCTTCTGGCTGGCTTAAAAAGGTTACTTGAGCATGCACCAGTATACAAGGCATCATAGTGGAATCACTCTTTTAATACAGTATGCTATGGCACACAGACTAACCAGCCGCCCTTGAGGCTCTCAGCTATTTTTGAGCACATCGATTTCTTATGTAACTCCCTTCCTCAGGTGCCCTTCACCCATATCTACAGTGGGGCAAATTCGGTGGCTGATCGATTAGCCAAGGAAGGTGCAATTCGAGGCCCCTGAGCAAACAATTGGAAGTGAGCTCAGTCACTCTGTTGAGCTAACTCAGAAAGCTACAGATTTTATATCTTCTCTCTCCTCTTTGCCCTCGTCTCAATCTCACCTCTCCACTTTCTCTTTACTTTCTCCTCCCCCTCTTCTCTAGCTCTGCTTCTAAAGTTGTATTCGGGAAAAAAAAAAAAGCAGGAAGGTATTTTCGTGGTGGACTTGGTTGTGGCCTTTTATGCTTGCAGGTCCCCTGTCCCTGTATCTTTTGCAATGCTTTCGCTACAATGTTAATTCTTACCATGGTTTAATTTCTCGAGTTGAGACTTGCTTCTACTCTCCAGTCTTGGCCCCCTCAACAGTTCAACCTTGGTTTACTCTTTTCAGTCGGGAAACCCTTAACAAGGCAAGTACCTCTTCACCGATACCCCCTCAAACCTATAACTCTGTCCTTCACTCCCTCTCTCCAACCAACCCACCAAACCTTCTCTCCTCTAACCTACCACAGTTCTCCATACGCCCATATACACCTAATAATCTCCACTTTCTCTCTCTCTCTTGCCTTCTCTTGGTTTCCCTCACCTTCTTGTTTAGAACATTCTCTGAACTTTAATTCCTTTTGTTCTCCCTTCTCCTCTCCCCTCTCGTCTCTCCTTCCCTATCTATCGTCTATTCTCTGTTAGTTAACCAGAGACTGCTCCTCGCAGAAAAATCTCACTCGCTTCAGGTTTTTCTTCACATATGGGCTCTAATTTTTCTCCCCTTTAGTTTTTATAACTATAAGGTGTCTTTCTTCTCCCCTCCTCTACTCTCGCTCTCTCTCCCCTTTCTTCTCTTACTTGCAGTCCGATGATTGCTTACTGCAACCAAGGCTAGCTCACCCCATCGCATTCCTCCATGTTCTTTACTCTTTCCTCTCTTTTCTCCATAACTTTGTAACCTATTGGTAGCTGTCTTTAGACTATACCGAGCGATTTTTGGTGGCTTTTCTCCTTCGATTGTCAGCTCTGCAGTGTGATGGTTTTATAGGGTCAGCTCTAAATAGTTACGAAACAATGGTGAAGGGCAATTGTTGGGTAAAACGTTATTGAAAGCTCTCACCAATAGCCGGAGTCCCTTTTTTTAGCACCATTATATTTGTGTTTATTCTCTATCTTATTCCTTTGCCCTGTTTACCTCACCAACACCACCTCAACTTTCCCCTTCGACCTGCTCCACTATCAAGCAAAGGAAGCATATCACTATGTTGGCTAAGCTGCTCCAACTCCAAGCAAAGGTAGAATTTCAGAATGTCGGTTGCTTAGCTCGCACCAGCACAGTAAGAAGCTGAAGGTTTTTTGAAACATTGCTAGTCAATAGCTTTGTCTCTATATTTTGGATAATTCTCGAATGATTGTATTTTCTTATTTCTTTTCTTTTCCTTTTTTAATATGTATCTCTCCATCTTTCTCCTTCTTCTCCCTTTACTTCTGTTTGTCTGAGCACCCAACTTGTGGGAGTGCCGTCTTTAGTTTTCAGCTTAATGTATTCTTTTTATTCTATAACAAAGTTAACCTTTCTCAAAAATATAACACGAGACCTAAGAAATGGAATTATTTATTGTAACTGAAAAGAAACTTTCTACAAGATGACCATTCATGACTAATTCATCTCCATATTTCACCTCGACCTTGTTGTTAGTAAAAATGGTGGAGTAGCTTGCCTTAGCCAATTTAGCGACCGAAACCAAACTCTTCCTCATCTCAAGAGCATATAGAGTTTGCTTGAGGATCATGCTTTTGTCATTCTCAAGTTGAAGGATAAAATCTCCAATACCCAGGCTTTCAGTCTTTTGATTCCCACCCATATAGATATTCTGATCCCCATGGGGCAACATGTTGGAAATTTCTATATCCATCCTTGGTGTTTGGCACATGGGCAGTGGACCCTAAGTCAAAACACTATGGCCCTACTTTAGGGTCACCTAGCATAGCCTCTAGGACTACACAAGCATGCTCCCTATCACCCTCAGGATTCGCATTCTTGGGTGCTTTACCTTACATAGCAATGTGCCCAAATTTCTTGCAATTATAAACTAGGTACTCTTAAAATCCTTCTTTTTCTTAGGCTCATTATTCTCTTCTTGATTCTCATTCGTTTTGTTCTTATTCTTTCCTTGCCTTTCATCTTCTTGAATGAACCAGGGTTGGGTTTAAGGTTTACCATATTTACGGAGTCATTCAAGGCTAAAGTATCGTGAGACAATCTCCTTTCTTCTTCGGCTTTAAGTTTAGTGATAATCTCGTCCAACTTCGGCATGCTCGCCCTTTCAGTAAGAACTGAATAAAAGTTTTCCCATGACCTCGGCATAGAATTCAGCAACTGGCAAATCTACATGTTTTCATCTGGCTTGACTTGTGCAGCCCCGAGTATACGAACTAAGGCTCTGTCTGAATTGCTTATATGCTCGGTGACCTTGCCTCCTTCCTTCATCTTCAAGTCGGAATATTGCTTCATAGCCATTGTTTTTCTTGTGAGGGAAGGTGAGGCATAATCAGTCTCGAAGTCTTTAGGTGCGCATATTCAAGAGCATGGGAGTCATCAATGGCCATAAGTAGCACATGTTTTGCTAGTATGTTTTTGCGCTCCCATTGAGCATAAGCTTCTCTTACGGCTTGCCTCTCGTAAGCATTACCTATTAGGATAGGTGGGGATTCTTTAGTAAGCATTTGGCTAAGTCCTTCATCAAAATGGACATAGCCTATTTTTTTCTTCCAACTAAGATAGTTTTTCCCATTAAAATTTTCAGTCTAAATAAATTCAGCGAAGAAACCTTTTGAAGTCATGTTTGTTAGACAAAATGAAAATAGAAACTCCTAAACTATGGCAGTAAAAAATAGAAGCTCTGATACCAATGAAAGGTGTGGCTATGTAGAACTCAAGGTATTAAATTAACTATGAACCACGGGATTCAATGTTCTCCAGTCTGCATTCCAAATACCTCATATCAGTTTTCATAAGTATTTGAAGTGAGGCTCCTTGTTTAATTGAATCACAATTTCTTGCACATGTGAACCTCAGTATTTGATTCTGTTGAATCTGGATTCCAATGGATTGAGATTCTATGAAAGAGGAAGCAAGATTCTACGTTGATCGAATTGCAATTTCTTGCACCTACAAACCATAGTATTTGATGTCGTGGAATTTGGATTCTACAAAAATCGATTTTGAGATTCAATTAATGTGGAATTGAGATTCAACAAATGCAGAATTGAGATTCAATAAATGTTGGAATTGAGATTCGAAAAAAGTTGAATCGAGATTCTTAAAATATTGAATCGAGATTCTTGACTTCAAGGAAATGGGTTCCATGAAGATTACTCAATGGAATTGCGAACTAGGATTTTGAAACGGAATTGTCACTTGGAGTAAGAGATTCTGGTAACTATGGGGCAAAAATAAAGCTAAAGACTCAATTTGGATGCAAAATTTGTTCCCCAAGGCCCCAAAACTTCGATATGAAGAAAAAGACCCCGTCTAGCAAGTACTGTAGCTACTTGCCCAAGTATTGCCCAAGTATTGTACAAGCATGAGTGAATCTGTTTGAGTTTGTACAGTTCCCTAACAAGTCTGCCCATGTTGTACAGTCCTCAGGCAAGCCGTAGCCCGAATAACTTGTTCTAGTGCAAGTTGACTTGGGTGAGATATCAGACATTGTATGAGTCGACTTTTTTCAAACAAAAATAAGTATGGACATTAAAGCATTAGGCAGTATCACTGAAGTGCCTCACTGGATAATGTTTCAAACAATAATCTGTTCATGCCTTTGGCTTGAGTTTAAGCACCTAATCATGGGTCCTAAAGTGAGAGACAGGGTGTATTATGAGAGATTTTTCTGTATCACTTCATGCTTCCATTCCTGTGTTTGCTTTATTGTTTTCTTGTCTTTGTCTTTTATCCCCAAGATACAGTAAACTTATGTCATGATAACTAAGGCCGTTTTCCTTCAAAAAGACAACCTAACGCTATCCCTTTGGTGTAGTTGCTGTGTCATGGAGGCATGTGTTTATCATGCTATAGTGCCTTTGTCAAAGCTAAGTTGCAGGTGCTTTCTATTTCTGTACAGAAAATATTGCGTATTATGATGTAGCTCCCTGGACTTAGACCATTTTAGTTGTTTCAAAGTTGCTTTGCACCCTTTTTTTTTTTTATATATATATATTATTTTATTCCTTCTCTTTTGTTGACTTTCTAGTTCTCTGAGATATGATTAATAGGGAAATGACTTTGATGATTACATAGGGGTATCATTTCTCGAAAGGTAACGGAAACCTTCAGTTTCTAAGTGTGTTACAGTTCTGTTACCTGGTGCATAGTGATAGATATACTACAATGAACTGTTGTCATGTGCAAATGCTTGTTGGAGAAATGATTTTTGGGTTCTATAAATTTGACATGTCATAAAAATTATACCCTTGTCCTATTACTGAACAGAACAGCTGAGATAAATTGACCAGTAAAATGCAAATTGATACATGGATTTTCTTTCTTTCATTTGTTCTGTATTTCTTTAAACTTGCTGATGAGGTCATCTTGATGAATCCAGGAATAGGTGTGGAGTACTTGTCATCCTTCATTTGTGACTACACTATTAGCTTGGCTAATTTGGAGGTGAGGGGTCACACTGGCCGTTGAACTGTTGATTGTGATGTAACTCCAACATGTTAAAAGAAAAGGGCGTGTATGTAATGTTATCAGGACTAGAGTGGGGGACCGAACAAGTTACTTGGCCTCCTGTTCAAACTGGTCTGATTGGAATCCCAGCAGTCAGACTGTTGTAAGAATACCAAGCAAAGCCTTATAAGATATGTCAAAAAAAAAGAAATCTCTGTTACCTGCTTGACAGGTCAAATTTTGGTTTTTTTAATGTTTCAGAGGTTTGAATCGTGTCTGGTTTTTTACCTGGACGGATCAACATAGGGCCCACTCTGCTGTTTGGCTGGTTTGGTCTAGTCTCAATAACTATAGTTCTACGGTGGTAGGAATCCACTTTACCCTTAAACATTATTTTTAATGAAAAGCTGCAAAGCTTCACAAGTGCTTACCTTGAAACCCTGATATTATGGGCATATGAAGGCAACAGCGAGGCATTCATACTTGGTATTTATACAACTTAAGGTTGGAAGCATTGTTTTATTGATTGATTCACAATGGTTGAATTCTGTCAATCGTATCTATCATTCATCATATCATGTTTGTGAATGTAACTTTGTTCATACTTGTCTTGTTGATTTCTCATTGTGACATGGATCCAGCGTGTTCCATTTAGTTGACTTTGTATTGTCATTGATTTGCTTTAGTTATTAACTTGTTTTTATTGAGTTGCAGTATTATGGGATCTTAGAAAAAGCAACAAGTGGCACTGTGAAAATGCCTGTTTTGCTTGAAGTTGTGGACATTTCCTTTTGATGACATAATTATTTACTAGTTCCACAATGTTGGAGAAATCCAAGTAATTATTTGGAAAGTTTTGCACTTTTTATTCGCATAGTCCTGAATTCCTGATTAATTCTCTTGTTAGTGACAGCTTCCAAAAAAAAAAAAAAATCTCTTGTTAGTGGCCATTAATTTAGCATATTTGTAGTGTTTCTGGTGTATAAAATATTGGAGTTATCAAGAAAGATACATCAGACAGTAAAGGCTCTTTAACCAATTGGTTTCGAAAGAAGTTCCATATCAAAACTTTTACAAGCTTTGGAGAGCCTCTCTCTACTCTAATTTGGATTATATATTTATATGGCAAGAAAGAAACCATCAAAAAAAAAAAAACCCAAAAAAAAGATTGGCACAAATGGGGGAGACGCCTATGTTTTGTGGAATGCAAATCAATCGCTGAAGCAAAGCCTTCTGGGCATTTGTGGAAAAAATTGCAAAATTATTAGTTGGTTCCTTACCACTATTGAAAAAGTTGCAAGAGATGGCTGGAGCCATTAAAACTTGGAGGAGATTGACTTGGGAGTGTACTAGAAGCGACCCTCAGGTTTTTCTTTTGAGATCATCTCATTCTGCATGATACTGTTCTCCAGAAACACATCTCATGCAGAGATAGTGTTATTGAGGGAAGTGGCGAAGAAGGGTTACTAGGGGAGATAAGTTTAGCAATTAGTTTGACTTTCAAGAAAAAGGAATATCTCAAGCCTCTAGGTGATAGTGCGGGTCTGGAAGGAAGTTAATGCTGTAGTTACTGATATGGTAGCTTTTGGTAGTTTGTTAACTATCGAGGGAGATGGTTTAAGGTCCAAAATGCTAGGAAATGTCAACTTAGTTTAGTATTGGAGGGTAATAAAGGGGTAAAGAAGAATTGGTGTGGAAAGGAGTGTAAAGATATGGAGGAGTTTTGGTTTGGCAATATGGAATAGGGGGGTCTTTCTTGCTTGTATATCAGTTTTTATGCAATGGAGATTGGACTGTCTCTGAACTTGTCCCAAGTTGGAATCTTACTTCTGGCTGCCTGAAAATAAAAAAGAGGACTCTCTCTATAAAGAAATGGGTGCTTGGGCATGAGACAAGGGACTCCGTTTTGTATTCCTCTTTAGAGTGGGCTGTGGATGTTGGAGGGGCATCACACTTTTTTTTAAGAAAAGAAAGCTGATTTCTATTGAAGCTGAAAGAAAGAAGCCTAAGGCTTGAGCTCAAGGTGGGGAGAAAGCCTTAAGGTTTCATCCAAATTGCATGTTTTTGGCATGATTTCTTGCTGATTTTATTGTTCTATCAAGTTCCCTACATCAGGTGGTATCAAAGCTCAGGTTTTTCTTCAACAACAAAGCCGAGAACCTGCAACCAAGAGTAGGGTTTGTTGATTTTGGGCCAAGTTTGCCAAATCAGCTTAGATCTTGCTGTCCTCAGCGAGTTTTTGTTGATTATTTGCTCAGGGTTTGTGATTTCGGCGAATCCATGACAACAAGAAGGGGCTGTGCAATGGGGTTTTCCTAGATCGACTTCGTGATCCCAAAGATGAAGAAATTGAGGAACTTAAGAGGCAAGTTTAGCAGCTGGCACAACAGTTTGTGAGCATCTTTATGGGCAAGACAATGATCTTTCTGCCTAAAAAGGTATGGATTACCACCCTTATCACCTCTATGCTGGGCGTGAAGAGTTGAGTCAAGTGGAAAGTAGTAGAAGATCTAGACTTAAGGAACAGCACTTTAGGGTTTTCAATTTGAAGGAGGACATTCTTGATTTTGACGCAGGTTGTATCCAAAATCATTAAGTTGTAGATTGGGATTGATGGAGGGAAAAATTATATTTATTTTTAATTTCTATTCAATTTTAAACGATGTATATTTTGATTTATTTTTAGGATTTTTAGTTTTTTAGGAATTCTAGGGTTTTTATAGTTTTTATTTATTTATTTCATGAGAACCGTTCCAAGCACTATTCATGAGTAATGTCCACAAGGATAAAATTGTCATTACAAAATTTAAGTTTAAGTTAGGATATATAAGTTATTTTAATTATTGTATGGAAATATAATGTCTTTGAACATTGAATTATAATATATAAGAGATGTGTGGGGCCTTGATAGGGTAACAATTAGAGATAGTTTTTAAAAATTGAAAGAGAGAAAAGCTTTGGCTTTTAGAACCCTAGCTTTGGGTATGATGAAGAAACCCTAGGTGCTTGTGTATTTTTAATTTTTATTTAATTTTAAAAGATGTATATTTTGATTTATTTTTAGGATTTTTAGTTTTTTAGGAATTCTAGGGTTTTTATAGGTTTTATTTTTTTATTTCATGAGAACAATTCACAAGCACTATTCACGAGTAACGTTCACAAGGATAAAAATGTCATTACAAAACTTAAGTTTAAGTTAGGATATATATAGGTTATTTTAATCATTGTATGGACATATAATGTCTTTGAATATTGAATTATAATATATAAGAGATGTATGGGGCCTTGAGAGGGTAAAAAATTGCAGATGATTTTTAAAAATTGAAAGAGAGAGCTTAGGCTTTTGGAACCCTAGCTTTGGGTATGGAGAAGAAACCGTAGGTTTCTTTGAATTGTGCTTGTGTTTAGCTTTGTTTCTTGCTGATTTTGCTGCTTCCTCAAATTTCCCTACATCATTGGGTTTGATGGACGGAAAAATTATACTTATTTTTTAATTTTTATTCAATATTAAAGGTTGAATATTTTGATTCATTTTTAGGAATTTTAGTTTTTTAGAAAATCTAGGGTTTTTATATTTTTATTTTAGTTCTTTCATGAGTATTGCTCACGGGTATTGTTCATAGGGAGTAAAACTGTCATTATGAAATTTCAGTTTAAGTTAGGAGATATAGATCATTTTAATCATTGTATGGACATGTAATGTCCTTGAACATTGAATTATAATATATAAGAGGTGTGTAGGGCCTTAAGAGGGTAAAACATTCCACATGATTTTTCGAAATTGAAAGAGAGAAAAACTTATGATTCGGAACCCTAGCTTGGGGTATGGGGAAGAAACTGTAGGTTTCTTTGGATTATGCTTGTTTTTTGTTTTGTTTCTTGTTGATTTTACTATTCCCTCAAATTTTCCTACGTCAACCATTAATCTCTTAGGAGACCTATGATAAGGATCAAGATGAAGATGTTTTTTTATACTGTTTTTTGATGAAAGTTAACATTGTATTACTGAGAGAGAAGTGTACAAGAGAGAGAGGGCCAAGTTCGACCCCTAGGGGGTGAACTGGAAAGTATCATGTACAAAAATCCAAAAATTGGGGGGGGCTAAAGAAAGCATGTGAGGAGTTATGGAGGCGTGCTGAGCCGGAGGTCTTGTGCAAAAAAGGAGACGACCCCAGCTTGTTCATGAAGTTGCCTAGTAGCTCCCTCTTTCGCCAGATGATCCGCAAAGTCGTGCTGCCATAAGACGTCCATATCCTTGCAAAGTTGTTCAATTTCCTCAAATGTAGGTACAAGATACCAAGGCGGGAGAGACGTGTTACTAGCCCATGTGATAACATTTTTTGAGTCTCCTTCTACAATGAGGTGTAGTCCCCAAGAACGGTTAAACTTTTTCATGCCTAGAAGGAGAGCCAAGGCTTCTGCGATTTGAGCTTCCATGGGGCCAAGTTGCTCTGAGAACAAAAGGATAACATTGCCTTGGTAGTCTCTAAAGACCCCCCCCAGCCCCTGCCGGACCTGGGTTCCCAAAGGAGCACCCATCAAAATTAAACTTGATGGTTCGTTCTGGGGGTGGCTGCCAAAAGCTGGATCTCTGTGGTTGTCTTGGGTAGTGGAAGAGGATATTTTGCCATTGGGGAAGGAACTGGGTCCTTGGAAATCCTGAGAACAATTTGTGGTTCGCTGTCTAGAAAGAAACCAAGGATAAAGTCTTGTGCAGGAGGGTTGAAGTTTGTAATTTCGAGCTTCGAAAAATACGATTATTCCTTTCCAGCCAAATATTCCACATGGTAGCCGCTAAGGTGGTCTTCCGAAGGGCTCTGCCGGCCTTCGGCCACGGGGTATGAAGCTCATAGGAGATGAGAGACTTTACCGTAGGAGGCGTGACCCATTCAATGCCGAATAATTGTAAAAGAGAAATCACAGTGAAGGAAAAGGTGAGGGTTAGATTCCTCATCTTTTTCGCATAGGGCACATCTGTTGAGAATAGGAATCCCTCG